CCCAGAATAGCAGACAAAGGTTCGTGTTTAGAATAAATCTAGTTTGGAAGTTGTAGTCTCGAAAAACGCACCATAAAACCGCCCTGAGTGAATCACTCAGGGGCTCCTCCAAAGAAAAGAATAGGCTCGCGTTGTAACCCTACTCTTGTTGGGTTACATTATTGTATCTAATGTTACATCTGTATAATTATGTTACATAATATGTATATGACGTATATGTTAGATATGCAGGATGTAGACACTGAGCTGTACATAATAACAAGAGCTGGAGAATCGTGGAACTGGTGTAGTGGTGGGGCAAAATGGCGAAGAATGAGGGGGGAGAAGAGTGAAAAAGGGTCAAGAGTACATAATAGAGACTCGTCTGTCTCTATTATGTACTCTTGATTAGTATGTAATACTGAGTATTGTTAATTGAATACTTCATTGCTTTCCATCTTCGATATAGTCCTTTGGTCTTTCAAGACTGTTATTTACGAGGTGGAAGTGTCTTGTGCCCCAGTAACCGGACCGGGAGTTTTTATGGCTTGTGCTCTGGCAATCCCAGAATGCATTGCAAAGTCATGGTCTCGCTCAATGTCAAGTCATGCTTTTTCAATCACAATTCAAATTTGTCTTCCCTGTGCCTCTTGCAATAAACCGCTTTGGGCATGGCCGCGATGGTCTTTTTGGCAGCATGTCAAATGCTGGTCTAAACGTCGTCTTTTTTGCAAAAGTTTCTGTTAAAAATGGCCTGGTTAACTCTGAACTGACTCTCAAAGGAATGTTTTCAAAAATTCTTGCTCAGAAACGCTCAATACAAAAAATACAGCAAAATATAGTCTCACCTCACACCGGATATATCACTGATTACACTAGCTTGAAAAATGCCAAGATTTTATGCAGTTACTAGCAAAGTACCCGTCCTTCGGACGGTGGGAACAGTATATCAGCAGCAGTAGGCATACTACCACTCACCACCAGCAGCAGCAGCATAAGAGCACAAGCATCGCAGCAGCAGCGGCAGCAGTATCACAGCAAGCAGTACAAGCAGCAGCAGCAGCAGCAGCGAGCAGTAGAGCAGCACAGCAGTACAGCAGCAGCAGCAGCACAGCACTATCACCACAATTCGCCGGCCGTCCGGGCAGTCGAACTAAAAAGTGATAATTAGGAATTGCGACTAGGTCAGCGGTGCCTACGTAACACATTCTATACACGTCTCGTACGCTCGCGACGCATGCTATCGCAAACATCACAACACACACACACTCACACACACCATTACCACGAGTGAAGTGAGGTGCCCCTGTGTATAACACATATAGAAGCAGCTCAAACCGCGGAGGTCCGGTTGTGACCCGTTTACATCAATCTCCCTGTTTTACCCCACCCACGCCAGATATTCATCCACACATGCCACGCACTCACTAACTACAAAGATCACAGAAATGGAAAAACAATACCTAGGCCGAAAGTGACATGCTCTACGGGTTCCCTATTCGCTTGTCTAATCGCGCAATTCCTATCATTCTCAGCGTATGACCAACACACCGGCACTATGCCAATGGAAGCCAGAGGGCGCTATAAATTCACACGTCACGATTCTATTTGACACAATATGACAGGGCAACGAGGGATTTTCACTCTATTGCGCGCACAAAAACTTGCTCTCGTTCGAGTGTGCCTCTCTCACCAATGCGACTGGCGAGCGACTCTCCTCAGCAGGTGCCTCTATTAGACCTTTCTCAAGTAGCTGACTAACGACAGAACCATATAACAATCCTAGCCAGCGGAAATCAGACAGCTGTTGAGCCATAGCACTTACCCAACCCCTTGCTATACCAACACACGACATGAAAAGGATAATCGTGAGGAGTAAAGTAAATAGAAAGAAGAAAGAGAGAGGGAGGGAGAAGAGAGAGAGAAGAGAGAGGCGTGCCGTAAGCCGCCCCGTGGCGACGGCAGGCGGGTCAAGTGTAGCGAAAAAAGCTGAGGATGATATATATACGACATCGGCGAGAATTGAATAGATGGATAGTGTAAAGGGCGGCGAGGTAAGAGAGAGGGAATGAAAGAGAGAGAGGGGGGAGAGAGCAGAGAGAGAGAGAGAGAAGAGAGAGAGAGAGAGAAGAGAGAGAGAGGAGAGAGAGAGAGAGAGAAAAGAGAATAGAGAGAGAGAAAGAGAGAGAGGAGAGAAGAGGAATGATAGATAGAGAGAGAGAGAGAGAGAGAGAAGAGAGAGAGAGAGAGAGAGAAAGAGAAGAGAGAGAAGAGAGAGAGAGAGAGAGAGAGAGAGATAAGAAGAGAGGAGAGAGATATAGAGAGAGGAGAGAGAGGAGAAGAGAAGAAAGAGAGAGAGAGAGATAGAGAAGAGAGAAGAGAGAGAGAGAGAGGAGAGAGAGAGAGAGAGAGGGAGAGAGAGAAAGAAGAGAGGAGAGAGATAGAGAGAGAGAGAAAGGAGAGAGAAGAGAGAGAGAAGAGAGAGAGAGAGAGAGAGAGAGAGAGGAGAAGAGAGACGAAGATGAGAGAGAGGGATGACGAGAGAGAGAGAGAGAAGGAGAGAGAGGGGGGGGAAATAATGATGAAGATGAAATGAGATAACTAGCCAGTTAGGCTCCGGCAGGCGCATTCAAACTTAGCTAATCGCATCCGCCACCCCCCCCCACTCTCGTTCGCTCCCTACGGTCCGCTAAGTCACGCGATCGACAGTTGCATTCCTTCCCACGAATTACCGAGCGACCCCCCCGAAATATTAAACAGTTTCACCAACTTCAGGATTATTTACCTTTGATCTCAGGGATATTTAATCCAATCCTAACCTTGATGTCACGTATCTCCGTGTTGTCTGGTGATACTTCAAGCCTCACAGCCCGCATAACATTGGGGCGACATTTCCCCCCCTTCAATGCCGACCTAATCGGGGTGAATCCGAATTAAACGGAATGAGCGTGTAATGACATGTCGTAACAAAGCGGACGAGGAGTGATATTGAATAGGAAATAGTGCAAAAAGAACAGAGGAGTGGCGAGAGAGAGGGCAGAAGGAAGCCGACAATGTGCATCCGGTTGTTCCCCCTGTTGTTTCCGTTTTTCCCGTATCCTTCGACGCAGCATTCACGAGTCTTCCCCCCTATCCCGTCCCATCACCTGTAAATCTTATCAAATCAACTTTTCTATTGTATTTTACT